TCTTCCCTGGCCTCCCCATATGATTCTTGCTGTAAATCTACCATTGCAGGGTTACCTAGACTCCATAAACACATTGCTTTCTGGCACGATGCATCTAGAGAGCTATAAATGACAGGGGTAAAAGGCTTTAAAATGTATAATATCTAAACATATAAAATCATTAGTTATTTTTAATCTTATTTTATTTTATTGACTGTAAAATAAAACAGACTATCCAAACTGAGGAGGGTGATGTGTGCTAATGAAGTAATCAACACAGATGTCATGATTTGCATCTCTGAGACAGGAGGCTTTTCTGGGAGACTGTAGTGAGAAGGGGTACCCCAAAGAGAGGCCATACCATGAACCAAAGCCTAAAATGGAGCTGGACAATTGATAGATTTATCCTATAGTTACATGAGTTTAGTTGAGGATTTCTAGAAATGAATTCATATTTCTAGAAATGAATTAATATTCATGAATTCATGTGGTGGGACCATGAAAGCAGAGCAGTTGGCTATGGTCAGAGGCAGCAGAGGATCAGTGTTAAATATTGTTTGCTGAGGTTAGAAATTGTTGAAACAAATAAGGAAACAGCAGGAGTATGGGGGAAAAAGAAAGGCAATTATTCCACATTGTGGTCAACTACTGAACAAGGTGAGTTTGAAAAAATGTGTAATTTACAACGAAAGCATTAATATGCATATTTTGGGGACAGAAAAGCTTTCAAATAATACAGTCTGCAAAGAAGGAAACGAAAGTTGTCTTTGGAAAACAAAATGAAATAAAAGAAGTTTAAGCGTTGAGTATGATGACATGCTTGGATTGCAGTCAGGGAAAGAGCTGCTGTTTAGGGCACTGTGTACTTTAGTGATCCTTTAAGTCTTAAGAGGCCATGCAGACACTAGGAGCAAACACATCTAGTCAGCGTTTGACACTGAAGAGCACAGGTGTCATAGAGTCCCAGTCCACAGCATCTGAAGAGTCATGAGGTTGGAGACAGAGTCCATCTGTCCAAGAGTGCTGCCACCACCTCAAGCTGCTCTCTCAAGTGTCCAGCACATGGGTTGCATGAGGTTGGCCACATTTGGTTTCTAGTAGAGGTTAGGTGCCAGTATGTAGCTTTATAAATAGCTCTCAGGAACAATGGATTCCATGGGAATGCTTTGGGGACTAAATGGGAGAGAAAGAAGCAAGGACTAAAGTAGAAGAGAATGAATTGTCACCAAAAGTACAAAGTAAAATGTTCTCTCCTTTCCCTCTCCCTCTTCCTGTCCTCCATTCCTCTCCTTTTCACACACATATACTGGTGGGGGCTTGAGGGTCACAAAGCAGTATTTCTATTGCAGTAAATAACAACAAAGGCAGAAAGCAGAACAATGAGGCATGAATTGTCTACATGACTGGAAATTTTCTATATTTTCATGCTACCACATATATAAGCATATGTATATTTAATATCAAATATATAAAAATCAAAGAAAAACCTAAACATCATATCTAGCTTAACATTAATAGTGTTTTTTTCTCTGCGGTGAATTCTTTTTTCCCCTTTGAACCTGTTTGGACTGCTTAGTATGTAAACAGCAAACGTGGTTTTCTAGTATACACTTCTAAATTAGGCAGAGTTACAATTACTTATCATGAATTCCCTTCCATCCCCTTGACCTCCCAGCGCTTAAGGCAGACCTTGGGAAGTGGCTGTGATTTTGCCAAACTACTGCTTAGCTGCTACTGGTTACAAAGGGCACTATTTCAATGCTTGTCAAGTAGAAAACCAACTCTCCCAGACACATCTCTATGCTGCCACCTCACAGCCCCTTAGGGAAGCAAAGACTAGCTGGAGTTGACCACACACACCCCCTGATTTCTTGCCAGGAAGTAGTAGAAATCACAAAAACACAAACCCCAATTAATCAGGACCTCTTGGAGTGGGGCCCAGGCATGGGTGTTTATTTTAAAAGCTCCCCAGGTGATTCTAATGTGCAGCCAGCATTAAGAACCATGGCCCGAATGGATTAATTTACTAGGGGGGCATTTGAATACGGCCTTTGGAGAGGGGAAAATTAAAGTAGAGAGGATTTGGTTGACCAAGGCCAAGTTGTTTCATGGCCTTGAGCTTTGTGAGAGAATGATTATGCAAACATAATGAAACAACATTGTGGAGTGGGCCAAGCCTTCAAAGTTAGAGAGGCCGGTAGATGGCCTTCCCTAGCGCATGCAGAAGGCTATATCTGATTCAGTGTTTTACTGAGGAAAATGCTGTGCCCTGGCAGCTTCCTTTCAAGGTATTCTTATTTTGCAAAATACAGCAAAACCCAATTTTGATGCTAATGCCAGAGGACTAATGTATTTGGGCTCCAGAGCTTTCCAGCTTTTTCTACAAGGTGCCCATTGATATGGAAGACATCCTGTCTGGTAGAACAGAGGCCCTTTGAGGCAGTAGGAAACCATTATGAGTGGCTTTTGTTCCCATATCACCAGTTGCCCTCCTGAAAGACTAACAATAGGTTAATGGAGGCAAAGCATCCCTAGATGATTTCTAGATCCCATTCTTCTTCTTCTTCATATCAAGAAAGTAAACTCTGTCTCATTTTGGTCTCATAGAGCAGATACACTAGTTTAACTCTTATTCAAATACCCACTAAATCAGTGAAGTTCCTGACCTGGCATTGTGACATGTCTCTAAGCAGTCATACAATAAACACCATGAACTAATGGGCTCATAACCATCTTTGTATATTGAAATTATTTCACCAGCCACCATTTATTGCAGTTATTAAGCTAAGCTTGTGCCAACCCTGTGTGGTCCTGTATATATCCTGCTTAAATCTGAGGACCAAACTTTGAGGACATTTCTATGCCTGGTTTACTGTCAAAGGTTGAAGTCAGACAGACAGAATATAGAACCCTTAAAGATTGAGTTCAGTTCAGACCCTGAGTCTACCTTATTTGTACCAATAACCTTGGCACCAGAGCTGGATTGGAGGGAAAAGCAGAGTTCCTGCCTTGTGTGCACTTGTGGCAGTGTCTTTGCCTCCAGACCTTAATCCTTGGCCTCTCAAGCACAGCCATTCTTATTTCAGAGCTATTCCCATCAGAATTCTTCCGTCCCACTTTTCTCACAGCTTGGTTATATTCGAAGATGAGCTTTTCTGAGGCTCCATCTTGTATCTCACCTGTTTTTAAGGGCATTTCATTGTGTTCCCTGGTTTAATCTCCATTCCCATTGTAAAGAAGAAAAACCGTACCATTGAGCCTAGCTAGAGTTCTAAACAGGGGTCTCCTCTTGTGGCTCTACCGATGCATCAGTTTCAGGAATCTTAGCCCTGGTCTGCCAGCCTCTTGGTGTCTGTGCTGAATGCTTTCAGATGCCTTGCAGTAAGCAAAACGGAAGCCCAGCTGAACTCACCAAAGTTATTGCCTTTTAATTCTTGAGAGCAGTAGCATCTGGACTTCCCCAGCTGCCACCTGCTCTTGAGGAAATGTGTCGAATCTGTGCAGTGAGGGACATGCAAGTGTTCTTGGAAACTTGAATGAAAATCCTGCGTGAGCATGCCAATATAAATAATATACTGTCTTCCCAGAAATTGTTCATTTTGAAGACAATATCTGCTGCTGTCTCACTCTCCCCCACTATTAAATGATTCATATACAGAAGTACGGTTTGCACCCAGCTTGTAAAATCTACTTCCATAATAGGTCAAGCAGCTAAACAGACAAAGCACATTTCAGTAAGTACTTTAAGAACTCTACAAGATCGATATAAAATTCAGAAGTGGGTTTAGTTAGTAGAAATTCCTAGGCAAACTTGGACCACAGTCACCAATCTGCTTAGGAGGGGTTACTGTACGGTCAGATAATATTTATGAAGTTCTAAAATGTGTAGCATGCTGGGTTTGAGTCCATTAAAACTGTAATCCACAATGAGGGCCTCACTCTGGGTGGCTCTTCTTGAGGCTCACTGAGAGCAAGTCTGGGGAAGGTAATCTCTCGCAGGCCCACTACTATGACTCTGTGATTGACCACCAATGACTTTGACCTGTATATTCTGACAATGTTCCCTCAAAGCCTAGAAGAGGACTATGAGAGGGCCAGACACCCTGGGAGTGCAGGAGGCTCTGCCAAGCGCTGAATCTAGCTAGCATCTTGATCTGGCATCTGAAAGTGCTCATGTCTGCCTTCTACAGTGTGGTGTTCAGCCTGAGGTGGAAGCAAGAACAGGAGGAAAGCGAGGGACCCTCGAAAAAACAAAGTCATGGGCACCAAAGTCAGTTTGAGAATCAGAATTATATTCCGGTGGAAGTCATGACCAGAGAACACTTGGTTAACACAGAGCCTTGGGGAGAACTGCCTCAGCTGACCCTAGCCTCTGAGGTCTGGGTGAATGCCTTTTCCTTCTACTTGCCCCATCCCACCAGCTTGCTGCATATACAATGACACCTTCACCGAGAGAGACAGCACACATTTCAACAGATTAGGGAGAGAGAAAACAAAAACCCAAATCCAAAATGCTCATACCACTATACCCATAGCCCCAGGGAATGGCTCAACAGGCAGTTTGGGAGTTTATATCTAGACCATGTTTAATGCAAACCAATGCAGGATCCCTTTAAATATTTATTCCCTGGTTCATTTTTCTGTCTTCATGTATAGTGAAATGGCATCTCTTACTTGAGCAGGCTGCTCACTGGACATTAAAAGGAGCAGGCAGCAAGCTCCCTGCACTTATTATGCAGATAAGAATCTAGCAGAAGCAACAGAAAAAAAATATGCTAGCAAACTGGAGAGAAAATATATTCTTAAAAAATCATTATATGGAAATATTTCAAAAAGAGGCAAATAAAAAATTAGGATGCAAAAAAAAAAAAAAAAAAAAAAGTGGGCCCCCTAATCCATATTGCCGGCAAATCAGAGAAAATGTATCATTTATAGAGGTCCATACAAAGTAATACAGGGAATATATCCGCTCCATGTAAATTTATTAAATGCAACTTTCTCTTTCTTTTTCTTTCTTTTAGATAAAAAACCTCTTCATGAAATAAAACCCCAAAGTAAGTTATTTTTCCTCTTGTGAATATAATTTATTCTTATATTTGCTGCCTTACTGTTGTATTTGTTCAGGAGCTGAGCAGGACTGAAGTCCTCTGACAGACCCAGGGCTTTGGGGGCCTTTCCTCATTGAGTTTGGAGTCGCATATCAGAGGTTTAAATCAAAAAGAAATATGCACACCCTTCCCCTCCCTCAAAGCAAAAGTAAATCTCTCTTCTTGATTCTTTCTGCCTATAAGTCCATTTCTCTGTAAATGTCAACTAGGATTCTTATTTCTGGAGAGATTTATAGCATTAAAATTAATAAATATTTGTCAGTACACACTTGCATGGAAAGTACCCTGTGGGCAAACGCCTGGCTCCTAGCCCTTCCAGGAAAAGGCAGGGAAGGAAGGGATCTGGAGAATGTAAATCCAGAGTCTCTCCTGCTTTGGCATCCATGGTAACAAAGTAGATTAGGAACCAGCCCTCCACAGTGAAACAAATTCAAGCTGAGTGTCAGTGTTGGTGTTGGCTTCACTTCCCTAGTTATAGACTTGCTTCCTGAAGAGGCCTTTGCATTATTTCTGTTTTGCATCCAGGGGATTTAGAAAAGGAAGCATGGCTTAAAGGGTTGGCAGCTGGGTATTTGATCATGTGATTCTTAGCTTTGATTGTGCTTACAATAACCTGGAGGCCTTTTTAAAGTTATGCTTCCAGACTGTACCTGGGGAATCAAAATTGGGAGTAGGGGTGGGGGCACAGATTAGAACCCAGAAATCTTTATGCTTTAGAACTCTCCTAAGGGATTCCATTATGCACTCAGGATGAGAACCATAGTTTTAGCATTTTGTGGATGGGAGAACAAACAGATCAGAGTCTTACAGTAGGATGGGAATTTATAAGCACATCCTACTTAGGAAAAAGAAAGTGAATTAGATTCCATGATGGTGGATACACCTAGAATCTACATGTTATTGTGTTTAAATTAGTACATGATTTTAGAAATAAGCAATGTGTACTAAGGGATCATAAGCTATGAGCAAAGAACCATATAGCCGGCATGAAAATCAGAAGTAGACAGCTGTCCAGCTGTTGTAGAATGTAAAGCTTGGGAAACCTGTCCATGTCTTGTTCCTTTCATTTTATATGCGATGAATGAATTTTGATCATTTAAATCTACATTAGAATTCAAAGCTCTTAAGAGGGTTAACAGCTTTTGTTAGTTAACTTCTTTGAGGAAATCAAGACCTTAGAGGATGGACAGAAGTAGTTACCCAGGGGTGGGCATCAAAGTGACACGAGAGGAAAATCCAGACACTTTCTTTCTGCTCCACTGTAATGCTGTGGGCCGCCAGCAGCATGGAGAGACCACTAGCTTGCAATCTGGGAATTCTACAAAACAGAATTTCCTCCGAGTCTTTAGCTGCTGCTGCCAGCTACTTGTAAAGGCACCATTGGTACCCCAGTAGCAGATTTCAGGTTTCAGGTATGCGTGCTCTTGAAGACAGAGATGGGAGGAACTCAGCACTGTATGTACGTATATTTGTGTATGCTGGCATGAGGGCACATGGTGAGGGGAAGAGAAACTTGTCCTTCAATAGGCAGCCCGTGCCTGCGTCCTGACTCTCACAGTGACAGCTGGGATGAGTGGACACTCAGCTTCCTCTTAGTCTCATATGCTTGCCATCCCCTCGTTTTCTGTAGCGTATGGCAAGATCGTGGGTGTCCATGTGGTGACCAACAGGAGGATTATTTAGAAATGCATATGTGTGTGTGTTAAAAATTAATTTCATGCTCAGTTTGGGAGTCTTGTGTGTTTCTAATTTGGATACATCTGTACTTTCAGCCATAAACCCCACAGCAGCTTTTTCTTGTCTGCAGGGACTTCTGAATTCATTTTTGCTTGGGGTTCTCGCTCCTAAGCACCACATTTAATCGCTGGATACTGCAACAGAATTGCTTAAACCGTTTTAATTTGTGATTTTCCTAAAAATAAAACCATACCAGAATCAATGTGGTTGCAAAAGCCCCCCAGAGGAATCCAGACAGGGTTCTGTGAGCTGCATGGTTAGAAGTGCATTACCCAAATTCAGGCGAGCTGTTCAGGAAAAGTGGGGCCGAGTTTAAGACTACATGAATCATTGCTGATGCAAAATCAAAGTCAATTATGAAGATAATTGAGAAACAACCTGCTCCTATATATAGCAGGACACATCGTCTTCCACAAGTCCTGGTAGGTAGACTACAACATTCAGAGGGAATATTCCACACAGTTCTGCAAAACAGACAGGCAAAGGAGCTAGCTTTGAGTTTCAGGGAGGCACAAAAGGAAAGCAAAGTCTTAAGATATGTGTTGGCAAATCATAATGACAAACTGGGGAAAATATGTGCACTGCATAGCTCATGAAAGCACTTATTGTAAATGAGATAATTTAATCAATTACGTTTCCTAATGTACTAAACCGAATGTTTCATTTTCTGCTTCTGCACATCTTAAATTATCTTCAGGTGCTTTATGAGATTTAATCATAGTTAATAGAAACTTCATTACCATCAAATGTGCTTTCAATAAATGTTGTGTAACAATGTCAGGAGGTGCAGTAAAATATAGTAGGTTCTGAATGGCAAGCACGAACCCCCCAGAGCCAGACTGAAAAATGGCTGCATTCTGACAATGAGACTCCTCGGAGGCTTGGAGAATGGGGCTGGCTGAATGGCTGTAAGCTCCGGAGGGGCGCCTGCATCGGTGATTTCACCTGAGAAGTGCGCTGACAGGACGCAGCGTCACTCTAGAAAATGGTTTTGTGTCTCGGTCTCTCTCCAGCACCCTTTCTCACAGCCAGTTTTTCTCACCTTGTAGAAATGAGTGCTTGGCTCGCGGGGGAGATGGCTCAGGGGTTAAGAACACTGCTACTCTCCCAGAGGACCTAGGTTCAGTTCCCAGCATCTATATGGTGGCTCACAACCACCTGTAATTCGAGTTCTAGGGACCCCAAGGCCATCTATGGCCTCTGTATGCACACGGTACACAGCCATACATGCAGGAAGACACTCACACATGTAAAATAAAAATAACTGAATCTAGAAGAAGAAAAAACCAAAGGAGGAGGAAGAGGAGAAAACTAATGTTTTCCATGGGTGAAATTAACAGTTCCAGGTGCCTCAGTGTCATCTTCAGTTGATTACCTCCAAATAACCTTAGTCCCAACTTCCAAAATTCAATATATCCTTCTCTGCCCCTGTCTCTAGTCCATCCCTCTTCTCTGTTTTGTTAACAGTTAACTGCTAAGTCAATGTTCTGAGGCAGAAATCTGGACTGGCTCTGTCTTCTTCACCCCCCTGTTTTCTTCTCTGTATCCAACAAAACAACCTCTGACTGCTTCTTTTATGCTGAAACACATCTCTGGCTCACTGGCTTCTTTTCATTTCTACTCAGTCATCTCCACCCATTCACTTATCAGTTACTTATGAGTCCTTATTGTGTGCTAAGGTTATGTACTGCTGAGTGGAAAATCTGCCCTAAGCACAAGACATCTTAGGCCTGTAAAGTTCACAGTTTTAGTTAAGACAGGTGGAATAAATATAAATGGCAGAAAATGGTGAAGTACTTGACAGTGGTGTGACTTGTTGTAAGGAGAAATAAATCAGAGTGAGGACCTTGAGCAGGCTTTGAGGGAAGTTTGCTCTTTTTTTTTTTTTTTTTGAATAAAATATTCAGAGGAAGACTAATAGAAGGAAGGGTTATACACAGGAAACTTAGAAGAAGAGCAGTAGTATTAGTTAAAGCTGCAGAAATGAGGTGAGAAGAAAACCCACATTGTGCTGCAGGCCATGATAAAGAATTTGACCTTGACTCTGAAGGAAGTGGGAAGCTATGGACGAATTTATTCAGGGTAACATGACCTAATATTTTCAAAGATAAACCACAACTTTCAATGTCAGGTATAAACCTATAGGGGGCAAGAGCAGAAGCAAGGAGATTACAATCCATTACAATGATCTATTACAACAGTAATCTGTTATTATGGCTGTACTCTTAGAATGACCCAGGTTCAAGATGATTGAGGTTAACGCTGGATGGGAAATGACAGTATCTGGAGGTGGGGGAATGGGAGACATATTTTGAATCCAAGGGTTTGATGATAGATTGATATGACCCAGAATTTGGGTGATTCCAAATTGGGGGCCATGCATAGGAAGGATGGAGTTGTCATTACTGATACTAGGAAAATGGTATATATAATTTTGGAAGAAGAGCCCAGAGTTCATTTTGAGAGTCCTGTCAAGCATCTAAATAGGAAGCTGAGTATTTGAGCCTGGAGGGCAGAGAAATGTCTTGGCTGGGGATACATAAGGCCAGCAGGTAAGTTGAGGTCAATGAATAAAGAATATGAATAGAGAAGGGCCAAGGATCAGGCCAGAAAAGAGAGCAATACTTAGACTTTAAGGAGGTCAGAGGCACTGCAGAGAAGAAAAACAAAACAAACATAACCATAGTAGTAAGAGAAGATGCAAAGGAAAAAAAAAAATGATCCCAGACTCCTGATACATAATATAAATACATAAAATCACGCATGTACTGATGACATAAAAGTAGAATCAAAACTGTCTGATGGACAAAGGGAACAAGTGGGAAGGAGGGAGAAAGAAGTGGGGTATCGGGGAGCTATAAATGTCAGTGTTAGGAGGGACAAAGTCAAGCTCTTTCCCTAGCAGAGATTTTCAGTCATCTTCCCTTACCTGGTCTGGTGTTGCCTGAAGTCAATTTGGCTGAGCTTTTCAGAACTTACTTCTCAGCAGATCTCCTCCCTGTTTTAGCCTCTTCAGGAGAGCTAGAATTCTCTGAAGCAAGCAGCATCTCTTGACCAGTTTAACTATCTGCTGTTTGGCTTCCTGGAACACACCACAGCCATACCCGTCAGCAAAGCAAAGTAATGAGTACCCATTGTCATTTGCCTTATATTTTCATTATTTGCACCTAAAAACTTTCCCTCCCCCTAGCTCTTATTGTGTTTAATTG